TAGCGCGCGCGCCTAATTGGCTGCAAACGGGCCGGGACGGAGGAGGCGGGTCTCGCGCGGGACACACGGACCGGGCGCCGGCCGGACCGACTGACGCAACCGGAGCCCTAGCGCCGTCCCAGGGTCGCCGTGCGAGTGGCGTCTAACTGTGCTTCCCGGGTTCAGCCCAGCGGTTGCGGAGCGCAGCGGTGCGCCTGGGTCGGAGCGCAGGCCCGACGGTCGAGGGCCAGGCGGGCGCTCCGAGGGATCAGGGCTTCCCGGCGTGGGGGCTCGGCCACCTCTTCGCAAAGCCGTCCTGCGACTAGGCGACCCTGGGGTAGTGCTGTCCTCGAGCGCCGACTCGCGGGGTCCCTGACCCTCGCCGCCCCCCTCCTGCGCGCTCCGAGGCACTCGCCCTGCCTCTCGCAGTCGCACCGGCTCAGGGTCTCAACCCGCGTCTCGGGGTCTCGCTAGCCCTGGGTCTGTGATCCTCCATGCGTCCCCGCGCCCGCCCCCTGCGACTCGTCAAATTAGGACCCTGCCTGGAGTGCCCGCGGAGGGGCGGAGCTGCGGCCCCTGGCCGCTCATTAGAAGTGGAGTCGAACGTGACGCCACCGGGAGCGCCCTCCGCCCCCACTCGCCCAAAGCCGGGACGTGAAGCCACCCTGGGCCGGCGGCAGCAGACACAAAAATCGATGCCCTTCAAGTGAGGGGGTGTGAGTCTCCCAGAAAGGACGTGGCGAACGCCCTGTCCCGGGTTCGGAGAATTCACAAGGCCCGGCCTGTATTTGAACACATTTCAGGGACAGTGAAGATGTTTCCGCCACCGGACCCTGCTGCCCTCGGAGGACTGGGCCCTGAGCCCGAGGTCAGGATGGTGTTTGCCCCTGGATGGGTCTCCAGGCTCCCCTCCTCCTACGGCTGGAGGGGACCCAGGTGGAGGCCAGCAGTGGGAACCGGGCGTGGCTGTGTGTGACTGGTGTGAGAGTGTGTATGTATGTAAGCGCGAGCGCGCGCACAGGGGTGCGCGCCGCCTCGCCCCGTGGTCCCCGGAGCCCGCTCCGCGCACAAGGACGGGTCCTTGGCAATTACCGCAGGCAATGATCCTTCGGAAGCAGAAATTAAAAGTTGGGAGAAATAATGGGAGCCCGATTGGTGGTAATTTGGGCCTAGCTCGGACATGCTGAGCCCCAGGGAGATTGGGACTGGGTTGGAGGGTGGGGGTGGGGGCGAGGGTGAGGGGACTGGCACAGCCCCCCCCTCTTCCCCCCCTTCCCCCCCGCTGGCTGGTCCCTCCAGAGATTCTAATCAGACCCCACATCGCTGTGTCCTTCCTTGCCAGGACTTGATTATTCTTTATCTTTAAATTATAAATCACCTCGGGGGGGAAGGAGGGTGAATCATCTCTCATCACAGGGAGGTAATTATCTCCCTCCCGCCCCTATCTCAGTCGGCTCCCTCCCACCCGTCCCCCAGACACGTTGGTTGGAATAGAGCTAACCGGGTCCCCCCCAGCTCGCCCAGCTTGGTCCAGGCTCAGCGTTGCATCCCATCTAGCCCAACCCAGAAAAAGCCTGAAAATTGCTGGGGCGCTGCTGAATCTCTGTCCCCAGACCTGCCTGGGGCCGGCGCTGCAGTTCCAGGAGGCCAAGGGGCCAAGGGGCCAGGAAGTTGGAGGAAGGAGGGGTGGGGGTGGGCTCAAAAAGCAATCAGGAGCAGGTCGAATGCAATTCGCGATCAATAGCGGCCCCTAATAAGTGTAATAGGTTTTAATCGAGTAATTATCCGAATTTTGACCCTATAATTTAGATGTTCGGGGGGAGTTGCAAGGTGCTTGAAAGAGATATGCACGCCGCCGTAATGGGATATCGACCCGGCCAGGGCGCGGGCCGCCCCATTACCGGCCGCTTTCCGCCGCTAAGCACATTTCCCCCTTAACTGT